AAAAAAAAAAAAAAAAAAAAACAGGCAGTATTATCTATAAGATTCAGATTATAAGATACTTTTGCATAGCACTGAGACTTGAGGATTGTGATATATTTCCAACAAAAGAAGTATTATAATATAAAAAAGAGAATTAAATAGTTTAGGTTAGTGCTTTTCATGAGAGGTCACCAAAGAAAAATATACATTTTTGAAAGGCTGGCACTTTAGTGATTTTTTTTTACAAAGTATTTTGTGTAAGGTTACTTCAGTAGTAAATACAGGACTAAAATCCTGTATATCATCACCATTGATCACCATGCATTCAATTGGCGGTCACAACTGAAGCAATTACATTCAAATTATGAAGAATAATTACTTAACGTTAAGGCTAGTCTACAGATATTTAAAACAAAAAACCTGTTAGGCTGTTACTAACATATAGAAAGATAAATTCTAGCTAGTTTAAATAAACCCAGTCTTTCTTTTTTTGTTGTCTGGGTTTTTGTTTTGTTTGTTTTTTGAGACACAGTCTTACTGTCACTCAGGCTGGAGTGCAGTAGTATCATCATGGTTTACTGCAGCCTCAACTTGCTGGGCTCAAGCAATCCTCCTGCCTCAGCCTCCTGAGTAGCTGGGCCCACAGATGCATGCCAACACACCCAGCTAATTTTTGTAGAAACTAGGTCACCATATGTTGCCCAGGCTGGCCTCAAACTCATGGGCTCAAGCAATTCTTCTGCCTTGGCTTCCCAAAGTGTTGGGATTACAGGAATGAGCCACTGGACCTGGCCAACCCAGTCGTTCATGCTAGAGTACAGGCTAGAGAAAAGGAAGAAAGATCACATATGATAGTGATAGAGGTACTACAGAGCTAGAGAAAAAAATTAAGCGGTTCATTATTTATATATAAAAAGAGAAGATTAATAGATTAGGTCATAGACACAGGTAAATAGGAAAATCAGGAAATATAGAAAAAGATTTGTATAGTTCTTTATGAAATAATCTATTCCAATAAATCTGTTAAATAGGTAATAGCTGGATACCAAAAAATGACAAGAGAAATTTATTTAAAAAGCCATTTAACAAAAGATCACTTTATACATTCCTTTGAATCATGTCCATAAAAAATTTAAATATACAAATTACATTCTCAAACCCAAAAGAACCCTTCTAAACAAAGGAAATACAGATATAGACAAAGTCAGGATCCAAATTATTTTAAAAAGTTTTTAAATTACAGTAAATTATATTTTGTAATAACAAATGAAACAACAGACAGTTTTATACAATTGTTGAAGTTTCAAAAAGCTAAATGATGGAGCAATGGTACCACAATTTAGTTAAGTAAGTACTGTTCACAAATCTTTATGCTTTTGTAATATACCTATTTTAATTGTTACTGAATCTAAAGAGCAAATGTTGAAACAACCAAAAAAATAGAAATGTATTTATTTCTAAACATCCTAATTTTGCTCATATGTCCAAAGTTGTGAATTACAGGAACACCCTCGAGAAGAATCAGGTATTTGGTAAAGCAAGGCACATAGGACCAGATTTTGATAAAAGTGCTTGTTCTCTGCTCCTGTAACTACTTTAAATACCTGGAGATTCTTAAGATGACTTTCAATATAGCATATATAACTTTTGTAAGCCTTTTTTATGTAAAGCATACACCCATAGTAATTAAATATTATAATAGTGAATGTGTAAATCACGAGTGATGCTAAACCCTTAAGAAAAAACCTACCTCAGTTTAATGACTATACAATGACATTTTAAAAGTTCAATAATTTGATATGTAAGAATAATCAGTATTACAGTAACTAATTGTAGAGAACACAATTAGTTTCCTTTCAGATTATATCTTCTTAGAATCTAAATATCAAACTACCTTTCCTTCTATGAAATTATGTGACATTCAATATAAATTGATGTAAACATTTAAGTTTTGCATCTCTAAATTATATAATCCACCATAAAAGTAGCCTACATCTCTAAAATCACTTATTGAAGAATTGATAATATACTATTACTGTGTTAAAACATCCATCTGTTGCATTTTAAACTTTTCTTCCCAAATACCATATTCTTAAATTTTTTTTTTTTTTTTTTTTTTTTTTNAGTCTTGCTCTGTTGCCCAGGCTGGAGTGCAGTGGCGTGATCTCAGCTCACTGCAACCTCTGCCTCCCAGGATCAAGTGATTCTCCAGCCTCAGCCTCCTAAGTAGCTGGGATTACATGTGCACGCTACCACGCCCAGCTAATTTTTGTATTTTTAGTAGAGACGAGGTTTCTCCATGTTGGTCAGGCTGGTCTCGAACTTGTGACCTTGTGATCTGCCCGCCTCAGCCTTCCAAAGTGCTGGGATTATCGGTATGAGCCACTGTGCCCAGCCCATATTCTTAATTTTTAAAAGAACTATCAACTGGCACTCTTCTACCATGAGTTAGCACATTTTCACATTGAACAAAGTAGTTGTGTAATAACAAATAAAAAGTATAGGAATTTAAATAATGAAGGAGTCATCATTATAAAAGCTTGATACAGTAAGACCTGTGGAGGTCATCAAAACACACATCACACACACAAGGAAATGGCATTATCTGTATATGTGATATAATCCTAGGACACAAGTCCACCTTCTCATATATGATTACTTTTTTGTGAATTAAAAATTATGAACGACATAGCCCAATCTCTAATATAAACATTTTCAAACACACTAGAAAAGCAAAATATAAATTATGCCTGTCTAATAAAATTGTGCTTTGAAAATATACTTGACTACTTTGTCCGTTTTTACAACTCTTGTTTACATTTTTATAACTTTTGTTAGGAACCTTGAAAATTGTGTTTAGATACCTAAAAATGTGTTACTACTGTAACTAACATGTCTAATATCCAAACATTTACCTGTATAATTTTTTAAATTATTAAAATAGAAACAGACTAACCCTGAACAATTAAATGTGAATGCACACTGTATTAATACATAAGTACTCAACCAATACTTCAATGTGCGCTAAACATGAATCATTATATTTAGTCTTGAATTCTGTGCATATGCAGGACTTAGATTTTACTTAGCAGGAGGTAATAAGTCTGAATATTATGGCAGTCTAAAACTACCATGTTCAAAATGTGGTGAACTTATTAAACAAATACTCTAAAGGGTGGTTACTGAAAATCATGTTGGGCATCCAGAAAGTTTGCTTGGTACCAATTTGGAATCACCACCAAATTGATTTTAAAGATGTTGTAATTTTAAATGCTTTTAAACTTTGGATGGAACTGATGAGACCTGCAATCTGTAGACTAAGACTGCAAAAGCAAGGTAACACTGCCAGTTCATGTTAGGCAAGTGTACCCAACAGTTTGTAAGATGGTATTTTTGAGCCAAATTCTGTTTAACAAAATCCATGACAGCTATATAAAAATACTTATTTTTTTTACAGTTTTTATATATATTAGAACAGATTTAAAAATATATATACAGTATGGGCTGGGCACGGTGGCTCACGCCTGTAATCCCAGCACTTCAGAAGGCTGAGGCAGGTGGATCACTTGAGGTCAGGGATTCGAGACCAGCTTGGCCAAGATGGTGAAACCCCATCTCTACTAAAAACACAACAAATTTGCTGGTCATGGTGGGGCAAGCCTGTAGTCTCAGCTACTCGGGAGGCTGAGGCAGGAGAATTTCTTGAACCCGGGAGGTGGAGGTTGCACTAAGCCAAGATCACGCCACTGCACTCCAGCCTGGGTGACAGAGCAAGACTCCGTCTCAAAAATAAAACAAAACAAAACAACAACAACAAAAAATATATATATAGACACATACACACACACACAGTATGAATGAAATGAATAAAGTACTTCTTATACTCAGTAATTCTGTCGATAGTCAATAATTAAACCCATATTCAAATTATAGAATTTTTGCCCATCAAATCACCTTACCATTTCTAACATATTCTCTTCCCTTTGAACCAATTTATTAAGTAACTCATGTAATCTGCATCCTCAGCTCCAGTGTTAAAAAGGAAAAAAAAAAAAAAAAAACACTATTTTAAAGCAAAATGGTGGCTCCTTCTCAGCAGCTTTTGTGGGAACACAGAAAGGGAATTAAAATTTGGCTACCTCTCCCAGTCATGTGATGAGAGTATTCCTGGGAACAGTAGGTTTATGAGAGACCTAAAAAGCTCTTCTGAGCAGGCTTGAATTTAAAATTATAGTGCTGTTTAAAATAATGTAATATGGCAATCTGGAATGTCTCCAAGAAAAGTCATTTGGTCTCAGTCTCTGACATCTGTACTATTATATTTGTTTGAGTGTTGTTTTTGTCAATAGTTGTAGATTAAAGAAGTTTTTACAGATCAGTGAGTAAAAGGTTCATTTAATAACTTTCTAACTGTATACAATATATGCTTGATAGTTCAAAATTCTAATGTAGATATTACACAATAATTATTTTAAATTATTAAATCCTTTTAAATTACATTTTGAAAATTTAATGGCAATTACACACAAATTTTAATTTAAAATAAAATTAAGGATTTAACTGATTTACAGAAATAAAATGCAATTAAGAGATTAAAGGCTAACCTCCATTACTATGAAATTCACTGGCTACTATTTAGCACAGGAGCAACTGGATTGCTTTCAGCAGTATTGAAGCACTAAAGTATCTTAAAATTCATATGGAGAAATAGTGTGTATCTCTACATTAAATCTAGATATAATATTTATTCTCTGACAAATCATACCCAGAATAGTACTTTATTAATATTTAGGTAACTGAACAAAAACCATTTAGCAATCCTTCATTTAGTAATCTTTTGTATAAATATAAAAATCTCTGATAAGTGAAATGTTTTTTTAAATTATACTTCTTTTTTTCACAGCTTTATAGGTAATTATAATTTTCAAACTTTGAATATTTCATGTGATTTGATATAGCTGTACAGAAAGAGTAAGATAAAAACATTTAATAAGATTAAATCTAATTTGCAAAAAATTGATATTTGACATTTGTTGTGTGCTCTTGCAAAGAGTGCATAGAACATTTCTGCAGCAATCAAAAAGGTAAAATCTTTTTAAACTCAGATTTCAAGTTTCCTCTAATATTCCTTCTAATTCTAATCCCTGGAAATACTCTCAAGTTTTGATTTCTAGATGCAATGTGTTTTGTTACATATACACATATTTTATCCTTAAACTTTTATATTTTTAACCATTTAAACAATATGATCAGATTCAGCATGATGATATCTTCACAGACTCTGTAGAAGTCCTCTGTGCAAGATTAATGTCGAGATTCCTAGTGGACCATCGTGAAAAACCAGTTAAAGATAGTATACAACTAAGCTTTAGTGGGATTTCCTGCAGGTTTGGGATCATAACCATATAAGAAAGTAGCTGTTATTACAAGGATGGCTCCAAGGAAAAAGACACTGAATAAGACGAAGACAAAATAAAAAAGAGAAAATCAGATTAAAAGCAAAACAAGTTCCCTCTATTTCCTTACTATAAAAACAATTATAAGTTGGGGCAAAATGTTTCAGTAACATGGCTAAAAATTCTTGAATACTTACTACATTCCAGGTATCTGGCTAAGTGCTTATATGCATTGTTTCATTGAATTCTCACAACTCTATGAAGATGTACTAGTATTATCTTCATTTTTTACATGTGAAGAAACAGTTTTAAATAATTTAAATAACTTGTCTAAAGTCCCATAACTTCAAGAGGAAGTTTCATCTTAATAGGGATTTTAAGTTTCACCTTAATAGAGATTTTGTATGCAACACATTCAATAACAAAAGGTCTTAATTCTTTAGTTGAACATATGAAAGGAAAATTTTTATGTTAAACCAAGGTGAAGTTTAGTTTAAAATCCACGATAATAGGCAAAACTCAGAACCAATTTATATAGGATGCTTTACAAAAGGAAATTATATTAAATACAGGGAATTCTTGGTTTCCTCTTTATCCTATATACCTATAGATATAGTCTACCTTACAATAAATTGGAAATGAATTTACACTGGATGTGTAAACCAGACTACAAATATTATTATTATTTTTTTTTTTTGGAGACAAATGTCACCCTTGTTCCCCAGGCTGGAGTGCAATGGCGCGATCTTGGTTTGCTGCAACATCTGCATCCTGGGATCAAGACAGTCTCCTGTCTCAGCCTCCTGAGTAGCTGAGATTACAGGCATGTGCCACCACACACAGCTAATTTGTATTTTTAGCAGAGACAGAGTTTCACCATGTTGGTCAGGCTGTTCTCAAACTCCCGACCTCAGGTGATCCTCTTGCCTTGGCCCCCAAAAATGCTGGGGCTACAGGCATGAGCTACCGCACCCAGGCATGCATGCATGCATTCATTCATTCATTTAAAGACAGGGTCTCACTCTGTCGTCCAAGCTCTGGAGTGCAGTGCTGCGATCATGACTCACTGCAGCCTCGACTCCGGGGTTCAAGCAATCCTCCCAACTCAGTCTCCTAAGTAGCTGGGACTACAGGTGCAAACCACCCCACCTGGCTAATTTTTCTATTTTTTGTAGAGCCGAGGTCTCATTTTGTTGCCCAGGCTGATCTTGAACTCCTAGGCTCAAGTGATCTGCCTCAGACTCCCAATGTGCTGGGATTACAGGCATGAGACACTGAATCTTAACTTTATTATTTTTTTGAGACGGAGTCTCACTCTATTGCCCAGGTTGGAGTGCAGTGATGTGATCTCAGCTCACTGCAAACTCCACCTCCCAGGTTCAAGCAATTCTCCTGCCTCAGCCTCCGAGTACCTGGGATTACAGGTGTGTGCCACCACACCTGGCTAATTTTTTGTATTTTTAGTAGAGACGGGATGTCACCATGTTGGCCAGGCTGGTCTCAAACTCCTGACCTAAAGTGATCCGCCCACCTCGGCCTTCCAAAGTGGAATCTTAACTTTTAATGTGTACATTTTTAAAAATGCTATTATAGAGACATAAGTTAGTTTTGGTTTTAAAGTTTCTACTAATAGTTCAAAGCCATGCTCCTGGGATTTTTTTTTTAATTGTCTGTAAATGAAAAATAATTACTAATTATTACTAAAAGACCCTTCATAATAAGGTCCCCCCAAACTCATCCTCCCACTTCATGCCACCCAGTCTATAATTCAGCCACTCTACTCAGGGAACACAGCATATCCTTTCACAACAGTGTCTTTAGAGATAACTATTCCCTCTGTCCACAGTTTCCTTGCCTCTAAAGAAAAATAACAATTCAGGTCTAATGTCTCCAAGACTCACTCCTGGAGGCACAACTTACCACACTGTCATTAAATGATATATTATTTACAGGTCCACTCCCCTGCTCAACCATGTGCTCTGCATTCACTGTGGTGCGCACAGTGCCTAGCATATATAGGGAGCTCAGTAATTATCTGTTATGATTAATAACTAGATTTGACTTGACTTTTCAAAAGACCTGAATGCAGCTATACATATAAGATTATTAGGATAACATAAAACATCCTATAATGTATCTTGAAGAAACTGCTACCACATTAAGATTTGGTAATTATTAATTACTAGATACTGTCTTCATCAGTCAATATGAACTATTCTTGGCTTTCTGGAAGTCCACAATAGCATGGACTGAAAGTTCATGCTCAACTGAAACATTATATGATCTACCTTTGTATCCACTGCAGGATTCCTTTCTATGTCTTTAGCAGGATGTACTTGAAGACCGACCTGTTTTTCAAGCCAGCAATTTTTAGATGGTTCTGAGAGAGAAAACTGTCTCAGTAAAAAATATTAGGAAAAAATTATCAGAATGTAATGATTATTTCAAGGATTTGAGCATCCTCTAACAGAATTATTATATATACTTCTATTGTTGCATTGATCATACTGTTGTAATTTATTCATGTCTGTCTCTCCAATCACCGTGATGACCTTGAAGACAAGAAATTGTGTCTCATTCATGCACTCCTTTTCCAGGAGCTAGCACAGTGGCCAGCAGGCACATAGTAGACACTTAATAAACATTTGATAAAAGAATATGCAACCCTAAATGAAAGAATGGTAATACCAATAAGCAAAATAACAAGCACAAGAAAAATAATTTAGGAAAGTGGGTACTAGTGATATTTTATCAGCAGGGATGTCTAACAGTCAATAGAATAAAGGGATCTAGAGTTTATGTGAAATTTAAACTTATCTTCATAGAGAAGACAGATATGACATGGCAGTGGATGAGATGGCCAAGAGAGTAAGCAAGGATTGACAAGTTACCAGAGAGACAAACAGAAAGGTAAGTATAGGCGTACCCTTTCAGAGAAGCCAAAACAAACAAACAAAAACCCAGTTTCAGGAGGTGGAATGGGGCTAAAGGTAAATATTACATTTAGAATAGAATTGAATGAAGATTGAGAAAATGTCATTAGATTTATTACTGAAAATGGATTCTTCACAAAAGTAAGATGCATAAAGATAGAGAGCTTAGTTATCTATTTTAGGAAAAATCCAACTTCCCCTTCTGGCTTGGTGTCCTGAACATACTCTCAACATATTCATTCTTTCATTCATTCAATAATAGCAGTATCATTGTCTTTTTTCTTTCTGTCTTCAACCCAACAAACCTTACATATTTCCTCAGAAACATAATTCACAGGCAGATGTATTTCTCATTGCCAAACTACTACTCTTTGTCCCTCTGTTGGTTTACTTGTTCATTTATTTGTTTTTTCCCTGCATAATTCAAAGATTTAATTACCTCAGCTTTACATATGGCTCAGTTTTTTTTTTTTAAAGGTATGCTTTTTAAAGTAAAATCTAAAAATCTGAAAGTTCCAAACATTCTCAAATTATATTAAGCCATATACTTTCCTCATCTAATTAACAGGGAATAAGACTCAGATTAAGAAATTAAGACATAAGTGTTCACTATTAGTCTGGTTTCACTAGCTAAGTGATTCATTTCCATACCAAGCGGAAAACAGAAATGCTTTAAAATTTTTGCCTCATAAGGATTACAGATGTCAACATGTATTTTCCAGATCTATTGTCTAGACTGCTAAAAAAGAAAGCCATAAATGTTCAATATAAAAATATAAAAAGCATATTATATTTTTCTAGTGCCAAATTCCAACCATAATCCTATTTTACTCTCAAAAACACAAATGAGTTAGGCACAGTGGCATATGCCTATAATCCCAGCACTCTGAAAGGCAGAGGTAAGAGGATTGCTTGAGGTAAGGAGTTCAAGATCAGCCTGGGCAACACTGCACATCTACAGTCCCAGCTATCCAGGAGGCTGAGGCAGAGGATTGCTTGAGCCCAGGAACCTGAAGCTGCAGTGAGCTACGATCATGCCACTGCACTGCACACTGGGTGACAAACTGAGATCTGTCTCAAAAATATAAATATATAAATAATAAACAAACAAATAAATAAATACATAAAAGATCCTTGGGCGGTTCCAAAGATTAGAGATTGAGAAAATCAGGAGAGGAGTAAAGTTGGAGGAAAACCAAGAGTGGTGTCCGGGAAGCAATTAAAATATAATCCCATTAGTCTGGGATTATAAACAAAAAATTAGAATTTTCAATACCGTCTGTAATGGATATTCATTACACTCAATTTTTCCTGATGCTATCTTCTCCCTTAGCATCCATAAAACTACCGAGTACTGGGTCTCCTGCCTCGCCTTTAAGTCCTCCTATAATTCCTTTCCAAACTGCTCTTCCTGCCACCACCTAATTGAGTTTTCTCACAAGCCACATTCTCTACATAAACTGTCTTCTTCAAGGAAGTCATACACTCTCCTGACTTTAGTTATGTAAATTCTGTATTTTAAAAATGTCATTCATTATATGACTTATTTTTATGACATTATATGACATTAAATTTTTTATATGACTTTTTACTTTGTAGGGAAAATATTCAGATTTATTTATTGGGAAAATTCTGGCCAGCCAAATTTGTATAAAAAACTTTTCAGGAGACTTTCTTTCATGAATTTAATTTGAAATATTTTTTAAAACATAGTTAAATAAATTTTTTAAATTATATTTCAATGATTCTTCAAATTTATCAGATCACCTTACAAAGAATTCTAGTATTTGTATATACTTTTAGGGATTTAAAGAAATATAAAAGAATATTTTACCTGGTTGGCACAAAATCTTGAAGCCAAAAATAGGAGATCAGTGTTGATAATATTATAGATAAAGAGGTTGCAAATCCTTTTAAAATATTATCTGCATACTTAATAACAGCAGCTATTACAAGGCCTCCAAGTGCCTGCAGAAGTTTTTAAAAAATATTTTTTTAAACACGTATATAAAACTGCATTTCCAAACAATTTCATTATTGAATAAAGCTTTAGGCTTTTGTCCTATAAATTCAAACCCATTATAGTAAGGGATTATTTTAAACATCTTTTATAACCAATAGACTTCTAGGTTTTGTTCAATAACCCTCTTATTTCAAAAGGTATTTAATAAAAGTAACTACCAGGACAATCTGCAGTTTGTTATAATGGAGTTTGACCGTATTACAAATAAAATGTCTATCATTATCCAATTTAGTAATTAAACATCACTTGTTTGACAAATATGGGAGGACTGGTCACTCTAAATAGTGAAATATTTTTACTTTTGAGTAAAATTAGTAATTGGAGTCATGTCACAGCCTTTCAATGGCCTCTTAATTTGGCCTTTTTCCTATAGTTTCTCCCCATTCAAATCCAGCTCTCATTGCTGTCAGATTAAGCTTCCTAAAGCACAGCGTTAATTTTGCTTTTTAAGACTGTAGAAAGAAATTTCTACCTGGTCCCCAACAAATTCCCAATTTCAGCTACTTTAATAATGAGGTTTTACTATACTATACACTTTTGCTTTCTGCCAAAGACTACTTATCAATTTCCAAATCTGGGTTACCTATTGTAACAACTTTCTTTTCTTTTTCCTTCCCTTTCTTTCCCTTTCCCTTTTTCCCTTTCCCCTTTTTTCCCTTTTTCTCTTTCTTTCCTTTCTTCCTTCTTTTTTTTCTTTTCTTTTCTTTCTTTTCTTTTCTTTCTCTCCCTCCCTCCCTCCCTCCCTCCTTCCTTCCTTCCTTTCTTTCTTTCTTTTTTGAGATAGAGTCTCATTCTCTTGCCAGGCTGGAGTGCAGTGGTGCGATCTCGGCTCACTACAACCTCCGCCTCCTAGGTTCAAGCGATTCTCCTGCCTCAGTCTCCCAAGTAGCTGACACTACAGGCACACACCACGACGGCCAACTAATTTTTTTATACTTTTAGTAGAGACAGTGTTTCACAGTGTTGGCCAGTATGGTCTCGATCTCTTGACCTCGTGATCCGCCTGCCTTGGCCTCCCAAAGTGCAGGGATTACAGGTGTGAGCCACAGTCCCCGGCCCTGTAACAACTTTCAGAACAGCTCTTCTACGATCAAAGCTTTATTTAGAGAAAGTCATAAATTATGCCAATTGAGCTTACTAATGTTGTCGTTCATCTACTTACTCCCTATTGAATCCCTCATGCCAGTTATACCAAACTTTATTTTTCTCGTGTCTTCAGCCCTTTTTTAAGAGAAGGGGGCTTCCTCTCTTTGCTGGAATAAGATACATCCATGCATAAACTCTCTTGACTCGCCCTATCTCCACTTCAAATTTTCTCTTAAATTTTGTTTTCAAATTTTCCTTTATGCTTGTCTCCTTTTCTGTTATCTTAAAAATAGAAGTATCCTATCTACTTTTAAAACACAATTATCTTTTGCTGTCTTCACCTTCCTTTCTGGAACCTTGCTTCTTAGGCTTCAAACATCTCTAGAACAGGAGGCTCTGAGGACAGTGACTTGTATCTTCATTTTTATATCCTCTAGAATTCTCAATATGTATTTTTTGAAGATGTAATTAATTACTCAACCCTTGAACAATTTCAAGCTATATATAAACTAAATTTGACAGAAGTTTTCCAATATGTAACTACAATATGAGGCTATGAACTGTCACAGAATTAAATATCTAGATCTGCTTCTTGGGTCTTAATGGCTGATCACAGACTTCCTGTACAATGATAAGACTTGTAGAAAAATCAAATATATTTGCCTTTAGCTTCAACTCTTTTATTCTTAAACTTGTATTTTCATTATGTTACATTTAAGTAGCACATAGTTCATTAAAGACCCCTTTTCAAAATAAGTTTTCATTACAGCATTAAGATCACTTCTATTTTAACTTCCTTGAATATACTAGACACAATGAGATCACTAACAGGAGAAACCTTTTTCCCTCACATCAGTATATCAGGAGCTACTTTGATTCTTTATATTAAAATCGAGTTTATTAGCATTAAATCTAAGACTTTAAATGCTTTACCTGAAGAACAACTACTATCCAGGTCAGTTGATTATATCCCTGAAAAAATCCATTCTTTGATACCAGTTCTCCATCATAAATGTATACACCCATTAATCCAAATATACTTCCAAAGAAACCTAAAAAAAAAAGTAAAGACTACATGATATATCATTTAGTTTGTCTGAAGAGACATATTTTTCCACTGAGATTTCAAATAATTTTATACTTAACTTTTTCTTTTTGATAAAATTAGATTACTTTTTAAAATCTTTACTTGCTTTTGTAAACTTAACGAAAGTATACTTAGTACTATATTATGACTACAAGACAAAGACATACAAATAAAAAAAGACAAAGACATAGAATATAAAAAAAACAGGCATTACCAACTTTGGAGCACTAAAATAATACAATGCACAAATTAGATGATTACATGGCTAGCCCATTCAAATATTTTATGTGCAAATTGCTCACATTTGGGATATGTCATTGTTCTTCTATCTTCCTCTTGCTACTTCTAGATTTTCAAATATTCATATATACAAATATAAAAGCTCAGGGCTGGGCGCAGGAGCTCACATCTGTAATCGCAGCACTTTGGGAGGCCGAGGCGGGCAAATCACCTGAGGGTGGGAGTTCGAAACCAGACTGACCAACATGGAGAAACCCCTTCTCTACTAAAAATACAAAATTAGCTGGGCATGGTAGTGCATCCCTGTAATCCCAGCTACTCGGGAGGCTGAGGCAGGAGAATCGCTGGGAGGCAGACGTTGCAGTGAACCGAGATTGTATACCACTGCACTCCAGCCTGGGCAAGAGAACGAGACTCCATCTCAAAAAAAGAAAAAAAATAAAAAGAAAAGCTCAGGCAGGGGGTACAGTATTTTTCCTCATTAAGAAGTTTCAAGGCTGGGTGCAGTGGCTCACACCTGTAATCCCAGCACTTTGGGAGGCCAAGGCGGGCGAATCACCTGAGGCCGGGTGTTCGAGACCAGCCTGACCAACATGGAGAAACCCTGTCTCTACTAAAAATGTAAAAAAACTTGCAAGGCATGGTAGTGCATGCCCGTAATCCTAGCTACTTGGGAGGCTGAGGGAGGAGAATTGCTTGAGCCCAGGAGGCAGAGGTTGCAGTGAGCCAAAATCACGCCATTGCATTCCAGCCTGGGCAACAAAGCAAAACTCTGTCCAAAAAAAAAAAAAAAAGAAGAAGAAGTTTTAGGCACAGTGGCTCACGCCTGAAATCCCAGCACTTTGGGAGGCCAAAGCAGGAGACTCGAACTCAGGAGTTTAAGACCAGCCCAGGCAGCACAGCAAGACTCCATCTCTACAAAAAAAAAATTTTTTTTTTTTTTTTTTGAGACGGAGTTTTGCTCTTGTTACCCAGGCTGGAGTGCAATGGCGCGATCTCGGTTCACCGCAACCTCCATCTCCTGGGTTCAAGCAATTCTCCTGCCTCAGCCTCCTGAGTAGCTGGGATTACAGGCACGCGCCACCATGCCCAGCTAATTTTTTGTATTTTTAGTAGAGACGAGGTTTCACCATGTTGACCAGGATGGTCTCGATCTCTTGACCTCGTGATCCACCCGCCTTGACCTCCCAAAGTGCTGGGATTACAGGCGTGAGCCACCGCGCCCGGCCCCAAAAAATTTTTTTAATTAGCTGGGTGTAGTGGTACATGCCTGTAGTCCTAGTTACTCATGTGGCTGAGGTGGGACAATCACTTGAGCCCAGAAGTTTGAGGTTACAGTGAGCTATGATTTTACCACTGCATTCCAGTCTGAGCAACACAGTGAGATAATCTCTAAATAAATAAATAAAGTTTTGTTTTGATAGTATAATAATAACTAATATCCAAAAACATCACGGCTAAGAAATAGTCATAGAAAACATTAGATTCTGTGTTACTAAAGTTTCACTGTTAGAGAAAGTCAACTTGATGAGAGCAGAAACTGTCTTGTTCATGCTGAATCTCATCTCAAAAACATAGTCTAACATATGACTATCGGAACTAAGAGATTCCCGGAAGCATTGCTGGGCTATAAAGAAAGAAATGCATGCTTATAGGACCACTTCTTCTGGGTAGTCTTTGAAATATATGCAGTTAAAGAGTACAAGGGTAAAGCAATTTTTATAAATAAACTCATAATTAATTAAAATAGTCCACGGTACAAAGAAGTGAAAAGGATGTGAAATGCTCTAAAATTCCACTTAAGTCAGCTTTATCCTTTTACTTTTTGAGACAAGATCTTGCTTTGTCGCCCAGGCTGGAGTACAGTGGCATAACTGCAACCTCCGCCTCCTGGGTTCAAGTGATTTTCCCACCTCAGCCTCCCAAGTAGCTGGGATTACAGGTGTACGCCACCATACCTAGCTATTTTTTGTATTTTTAGTGAGACAGGGTTTCACCACGTTGGCCAAGCTGGTCTTGAACACATACATATATAAAATACATAAACACACATATATAAAATACCATCAGCTGAGTTGCATATATAACATATGTGTGCGTGTATACACACACACACACACACACACATACATATATGTATATATATGTATATATATATATATATACACATTTTTTTTTTTTTTTTTTTTTGGAGAAGGGTTTTACTGTGCCACTCAGGCTGGAGTGCAGAGGCGCAATCACAACTCACTGCAGCCTTGACTTTTTGGGACTCAAATGTTCCTCCCACTTCAGCCTCCAAGTAGTTTGGACCACACGCACATGCTACCACGCCTGGCTAATCTTTGTGGGTTTTTTTGCACAGACAGAGTTTTGTGGTGTTGCTCAGGCTGGCCTCCCAATTCCTAAGCTCAAGCAATCTGCCTCCTTTGGCCTCTCAAAGTGCTAGGATTACAGGTGTGAGCCACTGCATCCCACTTTGCATATCTATATATTTTAAGAAACAGGGTCTCACTATGTTGCCTGGATCTCCAACTCCTGGTTCTCAAGCAATCCTCCCTTCTCAGCCTCCCAAGTATCTGGGACTAGTAGCACAAGCTACCACATCTGGCTAAAGTTTTTTAATTTAAAAAAGTAAGACTTTGTAATTACTAAAAAAAGTATACATTATAGAAGGATACATATATGTCATACATGTCAGTATGAACAAATCTACTGCATTCTAACAGTTGCATAATATTCCTCTGTATGGATTACAATAGAAAATATATAACCGCATGTAACAGGAATTATTCCAAGTGCTTCATGTATGTTAACCCATATATGACACTAGTTGGTAGACACTTTTATGTTCATTTTATAGATGAAAAAACTGAAGCACAGAGCGGTTGCATAACTTGCTCACACTACTGGTAAATCATGGGTTTAGGAGAGAATATGATCTTAATCACTACACTATATATTATATCAATAATTTATTTAACCAGTCCTCTAAATGTTTCCTATTTTTTTGGATTGTAACCAATGGCTGAAACAATAATCCTGACATCTATCTTTGTGCTCTTATGGGATAGATCCTTATCTAGACTTGGAATTCTTACATTACAGCGTACATGTGTTTAAAATTTTGGCAAATATTCCCAGATTGAAATCCAACACGGTCATATCAATCTAGACTCCTGGCAACAACAGGTAATAGATTTACTGCTTCTCTATTCTCTGGCTAATGTTAGATCTTACCATGTTAATCTTTGACAATTCGATGTTTGAAAAATGCTATTACATTGTTTTAGTTTGTTCTTGTAATTTTGAATTGTGATAGGCAATTATTTAAGTATTCTTTCAAAAACATTAAGTCTGTTACTATTTTTTTCTATGAGCATTGGAGCTTATGTGGTCACCAAAGAATAAGAAATCCATGAAGCACATTAGAATCATGATTTCTGCTTTGTCTTCCATTTTTGTCTTACAATTCAAGAAAAGTTTAGGCAACTCACACAAACCTTGACTATTTATTTTTTCTTATATTGCATATTTATAAAAAGAGTTGACATTTATTAGTGCTCACTATACGTAAGATACTTTATTTTTTTTTTTTTCCTTTTGAGATGAAGTTTCATTCTTGTTACCCAGGCTAGAGGGCAGTGGCACAATCACAGCTCACTGCAACCTCCACCTCCCAGGTTCAAGTGATTCTCCTGCCTCAGCCTCCCGAGTAGCTGGAATTACAGGCACCCGCCACCACACCCAGCTAATTTTTTTGTATTTTTAGTAGAGACGGGGTTTCATCGTGTTGGCCAGGCTGGTCTCAAACTCCTGACCTCAAGTGATATGCCAGCCTTAGCCTCCCAAAGTGTTGGGATTACAGGAGTGAGCCACAGCGCCAGGCCTAGACACTTTATTCTAAACACTTGACATGTATTAATCTCATTTAATCCTCATAGTAACACATGAGACAGGTAGTATAATTTAGTTCATTTTGCCGATGAGGAAAGTGAAGCAGAGAAACCTAAGTAACTTCCCTATGGTCCCATAGGTGGTAAGTGATGAAATTAGGATTTGACTGGTCTGACTTCAAAGCCAAGTATTCTTAACCCCTCTGCGATAGACACATTACTTCTAAAATGGGGAATTAAACTTCTTAATGCTTTTAAAGCCTGTGAGCTTACCATCTAGACAAACCAAAGAAGCTAATAAAATTTTGCATTAAAAATATTTACCTTCAATATTTTCAAGAAAAAAAAATGACACATTTCTACAAATTTTGCAGAGAAACTTAAAGAAATCCTATGTGATAAAATGAAGGTTCAATCTGTTATTACATTATTTGAAAACAGCTAGAAGGATGAACTTTAATAAAATTTGGAAGATTTGACATAAAATATAGGCCATTAGAAATACAGACAATTTAATGCGTAGGGCCTGGAGGGGCCTATATGACTGCTGATCAAGACAGATGAGGTACAACAGAGTCACACTACCTGGATTCAAATCCTGAGTCCATTACTTACCAGTAATGTGAGCTTAGACAAGTTATTTAACTCTCTGCACTTTAGTTTCCTCATGTATAAAATGGTATATGGACAGAAAAAAAAAGTAGCAGTGTCAAAGGTAAACCTCAAAGTCACAAGGATAAAAGCTTAAAATAGAATGTGTTGATTTGCAGATGAGTTGCTTTTCACATGGGCAGTTCCATATACCATCAACCAAAATGAATGTATGCCAGGAATATTAAATGCTGGAATCTTCATAGGGGGATTTAAATATTATAATACTAAAAGAAGTTTAAATATTTGTTCAAAGCCTTCAATATGAGATGTTTCTTCTTTTAAACTATTTACCTTCAATAAGAAAAATGCTGCAGTACTTAAGGGCTAAAACATAACATTTTAAAATCAAATGGCACAAAAATTCATCATTTCAAACTTCCTTCATTTAATTATCTTAATCATCCTTTCCAGGAATAAAATATGTAAGTTATTTGCAAAAACTTCTGTGAAAGAAGTGGCAACCAACGATAAAGTTACTAAGGCTCCCAATAGTAAAGACAGAAACATATACCTTTATGTCACAGATGTAAGTTTTTCATATTCTTAAATAAAAGGTATTGATTTAAAATAAAATTTTTTAAAAGACAAAAACATTGCCAGATATTTGGATCAATAGCAGATTTTATGCAAGGCTCATTTATTTAAAGATGTATAGAAATCTTTAAATATAACAAAATAATCACTTTTAAAATATTATTAGAAAACATTTAAAACTTACCAAGCTGAATGTTTCTTATCCACACCGATTGTTTTGTTTCTTTTAAGATTTTCTCAAAGTAAACCCCAGCAAAGCCACTTGAAAAACATGCTGTGAGAACTGCCATGAGCCCTACAAATTGAGAGCCAGCTGAAAGTTCCTTAGAATCAAGTTGAGAATCTGAGGGCCACTAAATAAGAAGAAAAATAAAATTGAAGTTTAATTGCCATAATATTTTACATAAACATATTGAGAGCCCACTTTTGGACCATAACTTAAAAAATGCAACCAATATCATTTTAGGGATTGCAGAGGAGAGCTTTTGACATAAAACCTTACAATCATTTTTTTCCTCACAGTGATAATATATTACATTACAACTTATAATTTCAAAAAGTACCATAGAAATAATAAATATTTTATATTTCATATCTTACAGAGACCAGTGTTACCTTGAGATAATTCCTTGAAGTTTAATTTATTAAAAAGCAACATCTCAAATATAGGTAAAATAAAGAATGAGAATCTCATTCTTTCTCTGCTGCCTCAGCAAAAGTAGAGATCAGATGGAAAGTGGTGTGCTAAATCAAGTATAATAAAGAGAAGATTGGGAGGTGAACCCCAAACACTGTCAGGAAAAGACAGTCCAACAGATAGCAAGGGAAAACTCTGAGTACAGGACACTATAAATGAAATGTGTTGGAAGGGCCTCCCAGATCATTGCACCAGGGATGGTACCCTATGGCTTGGATGTTACTGACCCTTAATCTCATCAATTGATATCTTGTAACTACTGTTAAATTTTCTTTTGCATCTATTTCTTCCCTCCTCAGTTTGATCTTCTACTAGCTAGACTTCTTTTTTTGAGACATAGTCTCACTCTGTCACCCAGGCTGGAGTGCAGTGCATGATCATCAAGGCTCACTGCAGCCTCAGCCTCCCTGGGCTCAGGTGATCTACCTTATTAGCCTCCCCATTAGTTGGGACTACAGGTGCAGACCACCACACCCAGCTAATTTCTGTATTTTTTTGGTAAAGACAGGATTTCACCATGTTGCCCAGGATGGTCTCAAACTCGTGGGCTCAAGCAATCTGCCTGCCTTGGCCTCCCAAAGTGCTAAGATTATGGGTGTGAGCTACTATGCCCAACCTAGCTGGACATCTTAAAGCCATTTTTCCTTCTCAAACTGTACTTTTCATAGCTACCAAAGACTTTTCAATTAATGTGTTAACTAATTTTTAATAACGAAATTGTTCACTCTCTATTATGAGTAAGTTGATACTCATTCCTTATCTCTTGAAACTACCTACTTTTTTCCTGGGTTCTCTCCTCTAATCTTTATATTTATTCTAGTCCAACCGACTCTTTGTGATGATAGAAATGTTCTGTATCTTCACCCTCCAACAGGGTAATCACTACTTTTATGTGGCTACTGAGCACTTGAAATGTGGGTAGTGCGACCAAGGAACCGAAATTTTAATTTAATTTTAACTAATTAAATTTAAATAGCTACATATGGCTTTTGGCTACCCTCTTGGACAGTGTAGTTCTGCAGCATAGTTTATAGAAATCCCCTCTACCCTAGAGAGTTGATTCATAGAAGCACTGACATCTCTTTTGAGCTCAGGTCTAAGATTTCAGTTGCTGCTATCCAGAAACTTATTCCCTTAAAGCCAACGTGACTAAAATGTACCCATTCCTCTTCAGAGCAAACATGCCTTTTGATATCTTTATATCTATTAAAAATGCCACCATTCAAACCTAGGTTTCTTAATCTCCTTACTCACCATTCCCTATGATATTTATTGGTCTTACACTCATATTGATTCTTCTAACAACTCTTTCATCACTGCTGTGGGACATTCCAATCCCATTAGCCTGCCAGTTTGGGTCCCTGTCATGCTTTCTAACTCCTCTCCATTCCTTCAGTCTTTCTCCCCTCCAATCTGCCCTGCATGCCTCTAAGATTTCTCTGATATGCCTCTCTGCCTTCCAACTCTCCAGTGAGGCCTTACAGCCAAAAGCAGTCAAGACCAAGCTCCTGTCTCAATACTGAAGACCATGTATAATGTAGGACCAATCTGTATTTTGTAATTTCATCTCTCACTATATCTTTGTGAATTCTTTGTTCTGACCAAAGAAGACTATCACGACTCCTTAACTTAGCTTGTGCTCATCCACAGATCAATATCTGTATTTTTTTTTTTTTTTTTTTTTTTTTTT